ACTGGTCACAGCAGACAGTTCAGATGACATCCCAATAAAAAGCATCAGAAATTTCTTGTGTAAAGCTGAACATCCATTCATACATGAGTACCTTGAACAGTTGAGGAAACAAACACACATACAAGGGAAGCAGTATGGAGAAATATTTGAATGACTGATACTCCAGAGCACAAGCCCTAGGGAAAGGCCTCCCCTCCCAAAGAGATTCCATCTGAGAGTTCCACAAGTCAGAAAAATATTAGAAAAAAATGAAACTGTGCCATTTCCACCCAGGCAGCTTTAAGGTTTTGCATATTCAAATCTCAAATCCTACAATTCAAAGAGACCAGAGCCTCCTGACTAGAAACCTAACACAGAATGGAAAAAATAAGCGACTTCAAAACACTTTTGTCTCTCCATTTCCAGTAACTTGCTGTACTTTTTGTTTGGTAACAGTACTTGCGCTTACCTGGTTTAAGCAAAACCATGAATAAAAGAGCATATTATGCTTCCAAACACTACTAATCAGTTAGAAAGTGATAATCCACCTGAATGAAATATTGTCATTACCAATTTTCCAACGTACATGGATGAAGAAGATTTAAGGCTCCAGGCTGCAGATCCAGTACCACGCAAATTTGAAAGTGGTAGAAAGAGACATTGCAATTGCTGGAACACTCCACTGGTAAGAATGAAACAAAACAGTTTCACCGTGAAGAAGAAAGTGATTAATCTTGAGCAGGAATCAGAAGAGTTACTTGGTGTTCCTTCAGTTGGCAGAAGGATTCTGACTCGTACCTGAAGAAACGGATTGAGCAGGAGAAGAGAAACAAATTTTGATTCAAGTTTTATGAGAGAATAAAGATGATTGCCCTAGAGATTCAAAATAGAAAGAAATTGTGCCATTCATGTTTTAAATTCTAGGCCATTTCTGTTCTTTATCTTTTCATTTCTCCTATGATAAGAAAACTAAGTATAATCAGTCTTACACCACCACGTTGTAAGAACTTGAATTTCTTTTTACCCACTTACAGTGCACGCTGCAAATGTGCAGATCTCAACTGAGATGGCCACCTCTGCTCCTCAAATACATTATCTCATAGTATGCCGGTTGTCCTGGTGCAGTTTGATCCCAAATCGTCCATGGACCTCCGGTTCAGTATTGAGACCTCACTTCCCAGAAGTCATCTGGGAAATATTAAATAATGAAGAGAGGCATAATAAAAAGGAACTATGTACCCATTTGTATTTGGCTTCCTGAGGATGCAGACCATGTGAATGTTCCACAAGCAAAGAAAACTCGCAGTACTCTCAGAAACTTCTCCCCTTTCCAGTCCACATACGCTGAGTTACAATACTCCAAGAGGGTTCCTGGGTTTCAGTTCAGTCATCTCATGGTTAGCCAGCTGGCAGAGACATTAGGAACTTCATATCAAAAAGCACAATTTGCCTCCAAGGCAGATCAACCATGTTTTCTTCAAGTCCCGAGGTCTGTCCAATATTGTGTGGGTTTCCAAAATTTCGTGGCAGCAATATTAATAATAAAATGGCACAATCTGCTAAGGGAAATTGTGTCTGAAGGGCATGAAATTATTCACCATGACAGCTGCATTAAATAAATGGACAAAAAATATTTTTTCTTCTGGTAACAATAAATTTGTTTAGGTGGCAACAAGCTGTCCCACAGGCTGGATTACTTCATTCCTTTGAAAAGGATTCTCAGAGTGTTGCAATGATGTTGAAATCTCAAATTGGGAAAAACTGATTTTGGCTGGTGAGGTCATGTTCTTCTCCCTCATTTAAAAGCACGCTAACGACAGACTATTCTTCTGCAGGATGCATACCTTCTAATGTGACTTGCAAATCACGTTTATTCATAATTTTTAACTATTCAACTGGATTAGATGCAGGCTTTTTGGGGATAGGTTAATATATTTGTTTCAGTTTAATATTACAACTCTACTTTTCCAATTCAATCCTTCCATAAAAGCCACTACTGAAATCCTACTCAGGATCTCCATGGTATCTAAATGGTTGTTCAGAGATTAAAAGGCTTCAGAAAATAGTTAAAACAATGCCTTACAAACAGACAATAACAGTGATGTATTTTGTTTACCAACAGACAGGCAAGGAACAATTAATGGACAGGGTTCACAAAGATGACTGAAGCAAAGTCCAAAAAATACCAAACCCAACCTGACGGGTGAAAAGTGAAACTCTAACTTGTACAAACACCAATTCTTCCCTTCTAAAGACTGGGAACTAATAATGCAAGCTAAGTTGTTTACCTATGTTGATGTAAACATTTAAGAAAAAGAAAACCATGACATTTCCAGAACTGATATAATATTCTATGCTACATTTTCACTCTTTCGTACGATAGTCAGACCATCATGCTTAAAGAGCAATCCTACAGTAAAACACAAGGTGACTGAAGATGACAACTAAGCTCTATTCACATAGCAGCAGTATGTCTTAGGTTGCACATTCTCTTGCAAAAAGCACATGTACTTCTACTATGAGACAGGTAGTTTCAATATGCTTAAAAAAGCAGACAGTCTTGAGAAAAACTGAAGTGCCATAAGAAACTGTAATTCACAGAAAATACTGTTTTACAGTCAACTTTGCTCAAGAGGTAGCAGCTCCATTCTGCAACAGCTGATGATTTTTTCAGAGTTGTATTTTTAAATGTGATGCACTGCACAGAAACAGACCAACTTAGAGTTGGCACAATTGCATGCTTGGTCAAATATGGATCATTATCCGAGAGCGCTGGATGCATATTTTCCTATCTAGCCATCAGTGAAAGTGGGTATTCTTTCTGTTCAGCGCTGTGAAAGATTCTACTGCCAATATAAGCGAGCAGAGGCAAGAACTAAATCAGGATCAAAACTTACTGGATTCTGTAGTGAAGGATTTTCCAGACAACAGCAAAATCACTAATCACCAACCTCTGACTATGAGCCAAGCATGGGACTACCTAGCTGTTCTCAGTTCTGTCAGCAGCAATGATGAATTTTTCCCTTTTGCTCAATTCCTTCATTCATTGAAGGACTAGAGTATGTAGAATCTGTTACAGGTTGTAGTTCTGGCTTAAGTTATTTTCTTTGAGAGCCACTTCCCATCAAGCAGATGAAGACTGACCTGCTAAACATTCAAACCAACTGAAACAAATGGCAAAGATTATGGAATGGTATTTCTGTAGTATAGAAATGGAAAAGTTCTGAACTTCAGGGAACCAGGAAAACAACAAAAAACCCAAGCCCTTCAGCCTGTTCTGATCAAACAGTCTGACAAACAGTCTGCAACAATATGTTTTCATATCTGAAATTTTGCCCTAAACTTGAAGATTGATACGTTTTCTCTCTGTTCTCATCAGAGTAAAGTATAACTTTATGTGTATTCTCCGCTCATATCTCTTTAATTCTACATGCACCACAGAATAAACAGTGTGACCCCCTGGCTGTTATCTGCTAGAATAATTTTCAAAATTGTTAAAAACAGGAAACAGTATGATCAGTTTTGTCACATGCTATCCATTTGCATTGCTCCAGAAATATTATTTAGCCTGGAAAGGAAAATGTTAGAAAAGGATCTGGTTCAGGTGTATCACCAAAAATACAGACAAAACCATTCTCAGTTCTTAAAAGTCAAGAAACAGCATCAACTTGTAACAATGGCGTGCCACAAGAACTCCAGTTTTGTTATGGACAACTGAGGATAGACTGAAACGCATTATACACGTACCTGAGAGAGTAACTTCTCTGAAGCAAAGCTTGCCTGATTTCCACAGCAATACACGATACTGATTTCTTGTTAACTATTAGTTTCCCTTTGTCAACAATTCTCAGTCAGAATTCAAAGAGTACTTAGCAACATTTCAAAAAGAAAGTATATACACTACATAATAGTATGTGTACACAGAAAATGCAGATTTATTACCTTCCACTTTAAACACGCTGCATTCAGGGAGCTTGATTTTCCTGCATTAAACACATTCAGGGCATAACACAAGTTCAGCTATTCCCCTCATTTACCAAAGAGCTTTCAATCATGCACCACACACAAGGCTGAGAAACATCCAATAAACCAAAACATTAGAATGGCAAACAAAACCATCTCTTAGCACCACAGCTCTCCTTTAACAGCATGAACTACCACCACACCAGAACTAGTTGATTTAGCAACCTAGACGCAAACTGCAATGTAATCACTCAGCAGAGCAACAAAGAATAGCAGAGAAGGAAACTCAGGACTTCATTTTCTTCCCTCAGAAAGACCAGAAGAAAAAATTCAGTACACCAATAAAACAGCAATTATTTTTGTATTTAAAAACCTTGCCCGGTTACAACATTGTTAACACAAGGCATTTGCTTCAAAACCTGAGAGGACAAAAGAAAGTTTTCATCAGCAAACCTGACGCTGTGCAGAAGTGATATACCAGCATCTATGAAGAATTTGTACCACTTTTAATAGCATGGACCACTATTCATTTATCTTTTTTAGCAAGCTACACACATTTATTAAAGGAATAGAAGGGTATAATTTCTGGTCTTTGTTGCTTCTTTTAATGATGTTTCTCTATGAGACAGTAGACTTATGAATGGAATGAAATACCCTGATAGGGATCAGTGTTGACTAAAAGACATAGTAAGACCAAAATGAATTTTCTAGGCTGCCCTCCAGAGAACTCCGTAGTACCTGTTTTCAAGTTGAGCATTAATGTTTTTCATACGTAGTAATGGAAATTTGACATAATTGAGAAACTAGGATCCAAAAAATAACAATCA